ATTCCATTCAGCTTCTTCACAATTTCAGCCTGTTTACGCAGTCGGTATTCAATCCCTATGACATCGCGTAATACATGACGTAATGCCGCTGCATTTGATTTCTCGCTGGCCGACGTCTTTGATGCTCCGCAACTCGGGGATGCCGAGTGGCTGTGCTTTGTTCCCGATCGGCAGCTCCCCGCTTACAGCTTTTATTTATTTATTCTATTTTTTTATTAAGATAATTTTTTCATTCATTTTACACACCAGTCAAAGATCCCCCTCTTCCCTCTTCTTGCTCCTCCCCCCAGCCTCCCCCTCCCAAACCCCTTTGGGGGTTGAATACAGGTGGTCATGTGCCTTCTATGGCGTACCTCTCCCATACAAGCTAGTAAACACATAAATATCATTTAAAAATTAAAAAGTATCTATAGTCTCAAAAGGAAAGCTGTTCATTCCCTCAAACTTGGCAAAGGTATGCTGCACACTCTTCCACCCCTACCTTACAATTCAGTTTGCTGATCATCTGTCTCAATGAAGGTACCCAATTCCTCAAGCCCACAGAAATTCAGTTTATCTGTAACATGTAGCAATATCAGTGGTAGTGTGGAGTCGACCACACGTATTAAAGACCACAGTCTAGTTGTATGTATTTATGTCATCATATATAGTAAAAATGTTGTACCCCTGACCTACATCTCCGGTACCCTTGTTCCCATACCACAGCTGCCCTGAAACCCAAAATACCTAAAGACCCAACAAAGAAAGAAAATAACAGACCTTTCCCCTTATGAACATACATGTAAAACTTGTCAACAAAATATCCACAAACCAAATCCAAGAACACATCAAAAAGAATATCCACCGCATTCAAGCAGGCTTCATCCAAGACATGTAGGAATGAGTCAAGATACAAAAAAATCAAGAAATGTAATCCACCATATAAACAATCAGAAAGAAAGAAAAAAAAACCTATATCATCACCTCATTAGATGTAAAAAAGGCCTTTGACAAAATCCAACACCCATTCATGATAGAAGTTCTGCAGAGATAAGGGATACAAGGAATATACCTAATTAGAAAAAAAGCAATTTCCAGCAAGCCTATAGCCAACATCAAATTAAATGGAGACACTCAACGTTATTCACCTAAAATCAGGAACACAACAAGACCTCTAATCTCACCATGTCTATTCAATACAGAACCAGAAGTCTTAGCTAGAGCAATACGACAACTGAAGGAGATCTAGGGGATAAAATTGGAAAGAAAGAAATCAAATCATTTTTCTTTGCAGATGATGTGATAGGATACGTAAGTGACTCAAAAAATTCCACAAAGGAATTCCTATGCTGAAAAATACTTTCAGTTAAGTAGCTGGATACACAATTATCTCAGAAAAATTAGCATCTCTCCTATGTATAAATGACAAAAGAAATGAGAAGGAAAGCAGAGAAATAATACCTTTCAAAATAGCCTCAAATTATATGAAGTATCTTATGGTAACTAAGCAAGTGAAAGACTTATATAATAAAAACTCAAGTCTCTGTAGAAAGAAATTGAACAAATGAGAAATTAGAAAGATCTCCCATGCCCATGAATCGGTAGGACTAACACAGTAAAAATGACAATCCTACCAAAAGCAATCTACAGATTCATTGCAACCCCCATCAAAATACCAACACAATTCTTTACATACCATGTAAGGACAGTTCTCAACTTGAAATAGAAAACGAACAACCCAGAATAGGTAATGTAATTCTGAACAATAAAAGAACTCCTGAAGATCTCACCATTCTAGATTAGATGTTGTACTACAGGGTTATAGTAATAAAAACCACATGGTATTGTCATAAAAAGACATATTTATCAATGGAATAGAACTGAAGATCCAGACGTGAACCCACACACCTATAGACAACCTGTTTTTGATAAGCCAGAAATAGGAACTGGAAAAAAGACAGCTTCTTCAACAAATGGTGCTGGTCAAACTGGATGTCTGCATGCAGAAGAATGCAAATATTCTCATCATCCTGCACAGAACTCAAGTCCACATTTGTAAGAGACTGTATGACCATGCCCTGTGTAAACTGTTAGCTGCTGAGTGCTGTATACTGACACACAAGCCACAACCAAATGCCCTGTGTCTCAGCCCTCTCACCTGACTCAAGTGGGCCAAGCAGGTTTGCACTTACTAACATGAGAATTTCCCACTTGGAAATTCCACTGGCTCAAGCTAACCTCCACAAATTGTACACCTATCATTTTGGTTTTCCTTCATTCATATGTATCAATTAACAAATACAGGAAAAGTACACAGAAAGGCACTCACCCTGACCTATCAGATCCTTCTTTATAATAGACACCTGCAGCTCAATGACTTAAATCTCTAATCGAGCTATTGCCTATTAAGTTCAATCCACATGAGTCTATTTAATGGGTAATAGGGATTTATTAAAATATAAATTGAGGAAAAACACTCACGAATGCAGAACAGAGTAGAGAGATGAAGTTGTCCTCTGATCGGACCTGGAGTGAATCCACCTCGCAGGCAGGAGCAAGGAGAAGGGTCATGTGACCTTTCTCCCTTCCTTTATAAGAGGTCTTGAACAATATCAGGAAGCACCATCTCCTTCGGGCACTATAGCCCAAGGCAGAGCAAATACCACTACAATTATCTAGACTATTTCCTGTGCAAGTGTACACAATAAACTATTCCTTCTAGTCTGGTCTCAATAGAGAAGCCATTATCCACACACAAATCCTTTTCCTGTTAGTGCAATGGACAGCCCACTCTGTGACTCAAATGGGTACTTTTAGAAGTGTGTGTTTGACAAATCTTTAATCAAGAATTAAGGAGGTTGAGTCAGGAGGACAGCAGGGTCAATGCCCTGGGGGTCTGACCACTGAGATCAAGGCAAAGAAAATTCACATAACAAACTTTGTCTCAAAATATTTTTCTAAAAGCTTGAAAGTGCAACTGTTCAGGAATTAAAATGCCTTCCCAGTGAGATACCATGCCACACACTTAGAGATTAATTCAGAAAAATCTCTTCAGTAATGACAATTCTCCAACTCTGGCTGACACTCCAAGAGCAGCTGGCCAAGAACAGATTTGCTTACATATGTACACCATAGTCTTATACATTTCACATATGCTGTCAACCTGAAGCAATGCTGCTTACTGCCCTCCTATCATGGCTTGTGCAGCTTGCTTCCTCATAGAACTCAGGGCCACCTGCAGAGTGGCCCCACCCACAGTGGGATGGGCCCTATTACATTAATCATTAAGCAAGAAAATAAACTATAGGTTTACCTACAGGCCAGTCTGATTCTAGGTTGTATCAAGCTGACCAAATCTAACCAGCATACCTACTGAGTAAACGGCAGATTTTTTTGTTGTTGTTGTTGGTTGGAGTGGGGTGGGAGGGACTGGTTTTTCAAGACGAGGTTTCTCTGTGTGTAGCTCTGGATCCTGGAACTCCCTTTGTAGACCAGGCTAGCCTCAAAATCACAGACATCCTCCTGCCTCTTCTTCCCAAGTGCTCAGATTAAAGGAGTACAATACCAGCACACTGTTTTTTTTGTTTGTTTGTTTTGGTTTTGGTTTAAGAAAAATTATTAAGCAAACCCCAACTCTCTTAACACTCGATTTTCAGTGTATGCTTGTGTGGGCACACACAAAGTTTTTGTTGTTGTTGTTGTTGGTTTTGGTTTTTTGAGACAGGGTTTCTCTGTGTAGCTTTGGCGCCTGTCCTGGATCTCGCTCTGCGGAGGAGGGGGGGGGTGTAATAAAGGTGTGCACCACCACCACTCAGCTACAAAGTTTTGAAAATCTGTCAAGTTTAGGACTGGAGAGATCATTCAGCAGGTAAGACCAATTATCGCTCTTGTAGAAGTTCTGGGTTTGATTCCCAGCACTAACATGGTGGGTGGCACACAGTCATCCACAGATGCTGTTGCAGGGGATCTGGTACCTCCTTCTGTCTTATATGGCCACCAAATACACATGTGGTGAACATACTGTACATGGAAGCAAAACATTCATATGTATGAAATAAAATAAATGTAGAAAAATTAAAAGCACATAACTTCCTATCTCTTATACATCACAAATGATCCAGAAATACATAGAAAATGATCCAGAAATACATAGAAATGTGACAAAGGTCTGTAGCCAAAACTATACCTTTCTGATTGAAGAAATCAAAAAACTTGATTAAAGGAGAGAAATCCCATTATGTAGACAGGAAGCCTCAATATTATTTCACTACAGATTCTGAGCTATAGATTCAGCAACAGTCCAATAAAAAGTCTAACAATTTTTGTTATCACTAACAGAAAATTGATGAGAAAGGCCATAAGAAATAAAATAATTAATACAGGATTGAGAAAATAACAAACACAGTGATACCAGCTGATCTCAAAATTTCTCATACACCTGCAATAAAGACTGTACTGTCTGGGAAAGAACAAAGAGATCGACAGAACCTAAGAGAAAACGTAGAAATAACACAATATAGAGTCAATTATGATACATGAGGCCAGGAAACCCAGTAAATCTGGCATTACTGGACCACCCTGACATCTACATGCAAATGAGTTAGTGACAGAATTTACGCCCTGCGCAGAATTAACTGCAGACGGCTTCTACACCTGAATGTTCAGTGCCAAGTGCAGAAGACAATAGAGAAACCAGGGCTCTGCGAGAAAGCAAATATGCTTCCATGGCGACAATGAAAGCGTCGCATGCACTCCCTGCAGTCGTCAGCAACAACGATTTCCACACTTGGCCCCTGCTCCATTGGAGCAGCCGATAGTGTCATCATTCAGAGTATGCAGGTTCCCAGAGTGCCCCTGTAGTGGCAGGAACAGCGGATTTCACCGGACTTCAGAGGGACCTAGACGGACAACGGAGGATCCCAGGGAACATCACGTGACCTTGCAAGAATAGAGGGATTTAACAAGACACTAAATCCAGCCGCCAGTTTCCACATTCCCGGGAGAACCCCACACCAACTCACCATGGCATAGATTCCAAGCTCAGACAGTTCTCACAGCTTCAGGCAGCGGGATCACAGCCCAGCACCCAAAAACCAAGAGATCCTCCCTCAGCCCCAGGACTCCAAGCTGCTATCACGATGGACCGGAAGTGCCCTCCCTTATTATAACTGGTGGGTACATCTGGAGGCTGTCATTGGTTAGTGAGGACTGAGTGACAGGAGCTGCTCTCTTAGGGATAGAATGCAGTGAAGGGACACAGCACACAATGCTTGCCAGCCCTGGCTTCCACTCCAGGAAAAAAAAAAACTGTCCCAGACCTACAGAGATGGGCATTGCAGCAGAATTAATTTACACCTGGACTGCAGAGTTGTCTCTGCACTGTAACTGCACACAATAGGAACTTCCCTTTCTTCCTCCAGGGCGCGCGCGCACGCACGCGCGCACACACACACACACACACACACACCAGAGTCTCAAGCATACACGAATCATTAAACAATGTGCAGTCGAGTGATCCTCCTGCCTCACAGCTGAAAGGGGCCCCAGACCATCCAGGTTAAATTTAAATCACCTGATTGATGTTCGCTACGCATTGACAATTTCAATGAGGCACACCTGGGATTGCTCACACCTCTTTCAGCTGCACATTGGAAGCCAAAACACTAACACTTTCCCAGCCTTCTGTCTAAGGGTTGAAGTGCTTTTACTTCAGGTTGCTCATCTATTTGTGCTTGCTGCTGTTATTTAATTAAATGTCTATGCCTCTATGGAAAAACGTGTTTTTCATATCTGAATTGTACTGGTGATTTTATACAGCTTGAACTCGTGAGAACTTTACTCATGTGACCTTTCTTATCCCTCAGTTTAAATTGTCTGGGGCTATGACTAAAGGTGGCTATTAATGAGACTGTAGTCCACATCATTCATCCGCTCCTTTCTTCCAGGTTCCATTGCCTATAGTGGGGTCACAGTGGTGTGCCAACACAACCTGAAAACTTTTGTTTTTAAACATAGGGTCTCACCTAATCCTACACTTTTAGAATTAGAGCAGTGATGGCAAAATAAAGTGATGTAAATGGTGAAACAGTTTAAAATTGTGAATTTCACTTGTGTAAGTTGTATTTCAATAAGGTAAAAACACTATAATGAATCTTTATTTTTACTAACACTTTGTTTATAGATGCCAAGAAAAGAAGAAATTTGAGAGTAGAATTCCTGTGCCAGCAAGACTGCTTCAAGGTACTTGTATCCAAACCTAATGACTTGGGTTAATCCTGCACATTCTGCTCTGAACTCGAAAAGTTCACTGTTGTATACAGACCCACTTCCCAACTGGCTGCACATGTGAAAATGCATGCACCACCCAGAATAAATAAATACATACATACGTGAATGTAAAATCATCAAATTCTTAGCCCTGTGTTGAGTCATGACAATGCCCTTACTCCAGGTAAGTACTAATGGTCTTGACACACCAACCGCAATGTACCAAGATAAAACAAATTCTGAGCTCATCATTCAGAAAGGCTGCATTCTACCCTTTTAAATCCATTTGTTCATTTATTTGTACACAGGATATCACACTGTAGTCTAAACTGGCCCAGATTTACAATGTACTACTGACTGAGCTGTATTTCATGGAAACATCCTGCCTCAGCATTCTAAGTGAAATGACAGGTGTGAGCCAAAATGCCAGTTTCCATCTTTTTAAAAATGGACTAATAGCCTGAGGTAGGACTACTTCTAGATATTTTCAATTATTTATTTCCTAAAAAGAACTCAAAATGTCAATGACAAATTTGTCATGAACCCCTTTTTGGCCAAGTGTGATACATTAATATTGTGTGTGGAACAGGGGGATGTGCTAAGAGAGGCATCAAGATTAACATATGAAGGAAGACAGGATAACTGGATGTCAACATGTAGAAGATTGCAAACAGATTCACATCTATCACCAGGCACAAAACTCAAGTCCAAATAGATCAAAGACCTCAACATAAATCCAGTTATACTGAACCTGAACCTAATAGAAGAGAAAGTGAGAACTAGCCTTGAACACATTGGCACAGGAGACCACTTCCTAAATATAACACCAGTAGCACAGACACTGAGAGCAATTAATAAATAGGACCTCCTGAAACTAAGAAGCTTTTGTAGGGCAAAACATCAGCCTACAGAATGAGAAAAGATCCTCACCAACCCCACATCTGACAGAGGGCTGATCTCCAAAATTCATAAAGAACTCAAAGAAACTAGACAGCAAAATACCAAATAATCCAATTAAAAAATGGGCTACAGATCTAAACAGAGAATTCTCAACAGAAGAATCTCAAATGGCAGAAAGACATTTAAAAATTGATCAACATACTTAGCCATCAGGAAAACACAAATCACAATAACACTGAGATACCATCTTATAAACCTGTCAGAATGGCTAATATCAAAAACACTTGTGACAGCTTATGTTGAAGAGGATTCAGAGTAAGAGGAACACTCCTCCACTGCCAGTGGGAGTGCAAACTTGTACAGCCACTCTGGAAATCACTATGGAAATCACTATCAGAAAACTGGGAATCAATCTACCTCAAAACCCAGCAATACCACTATTGGGCACATACCCAAGGGATGCTCAATCATACTACAAGAACACTTGCTCAACTATGTTCATAGCAGCAGTATTTGTAATAGCCAGAACCTGGAAACAACAATCTAGATGCCACTCAACTGAAGAATGGATAAAGAAAATGTGGTACATTTACACAATGGAGTATTACTCAGCTGTAAAAAACAATGACATCATGAAATTTGTAGGCAAATGGATGGAACTAGGAAAAAATCATCCTCAGTGAAGTAACCCATACCCAGAAAGACAAACTTGATATGTCCTCACTCTTAAGTGGGTATTAGACACAAAGCAAAGGATAACCAGCTACAAACCACAACTCCGGAGAAGCTATGTAAAAAGGAGGACCTTAAGAGGGACAAGCATGGAGGGCTCCAGGAATGGGAAACAGTTAAGATCACCTGGGTAAACTGGGAGGGGGTGGTAGAAGGGAGGGGATGGGAGATGGGAACATGAGGGATCCAGATGGCTGAGTTGGGGGAGGAACGGAGAGGGAGGACAATGAAAGAAGTATCTTGATGGAGGGAGCCATTATGGAGTTAAGGAGAAACCTGGTGCTAGGGAAATTCCCAGGAATCCACAAGGATGACCCCAGCTAAGACTCCTAGCAATAGTGGAGAGGGTGCCTGAACTGGCCTTCCCTGTAATCAGATTAGTAACCACTCTAATTGTCATCATAAAATCTACATCCAGTAACTGAGGAAAGCAGATGCAGTGATCCACAGCCAAGCACTGGGCTGAGCTCCTGGAGTTCAGCTGAAGAGAGGGAGGAGGGATTATATGAGCATGGGGGGTCAAGATAATGATAGGGAAAATCACAGAAACAGCTGACCCGAGCTAGTGGGAGCTCACAAACTCTGAACTGACAGCTGGGGAACCTGCATGGGGACCAAACTAGGCCCTCTGAATGTGGGTGACAGTTGTGTGGCTTGATCTGTTTGTGGGGCCCCTGGTACTGGGACCAGGACTTATCCAGGGTGCATGAACTGGCTTTTCAGAGCTAATTCCCTATGATAACTTGCTCAGCCTTGATGAAGGGGGGAGGGAGTTGGTCCTGCCTCAACTTGGTATGTCAGTTAGTTTTATCCCCATGGAAAGTCTCACCCCCTCTGAGGAGTGCATGGGGGTTGGAGGGTGTTGAGGGGATGAGAGAGGGGGACTTGGCTTGATATGTAAAATGAAAAAAAAAATTAAATAAATAAAAAAAGAAAAAAGAAAAATTAATAAGCCAGGGGCTGGGGCTGGGGCTGAGACTCAGTTGGTAGATTGCTTGACTAGGATGCTTAGAGGCCTGGGTTCCATTCTCCGCATGGCATAAACCAAGTATGATTGCTAATGCCTCTCATCCCAGCACTCAGCAGTGGGAGACTGTAATTTGGGGTCACTCTGAGCTACATAGAAGAGTTGAAGGCATCCTGGGTTACATTAGACCCTGTCTCAGAACAAAAACAAACAAAAGAAACCATAAAATCCAGTTGGGAGAGAAAGACTGGAAAGCTTTTCCCACTTCGACCTCATGTAACAAGTGACACATATAAGAAAAGCCTGGGATAAAGTGGAAATGCTGGGTGTTATGTAAATAACCTATAAAAGATCAAGAGCTGGGAACATGGCTCAAGGAAAAGCACACTTACTGTGCAAAGCAGGACTCGGAATACATTGTATCCACTGAGTAGATCACAGTGTAGGTAGCAACAAGCAGGCCTTTAATCTGCATCCTAAATCTAGAAGGCACACCTTTATTCTGGGCCACACCTGCTGGAAGGACAGGAAGAAGTTTCTGCTTGAGGACTGCTTTCCCTTACTTTGGTGGCAATTTTGTTCCTTCACTGGCATTAGAGCATACTTCTTCAGAACTGAGAGATTTACTGAAGAGCAGCAGAGACAGACACTGATGGGCTGAGCAAATTCTGGATGATTGGACTTTCCATTCACACCCAGTGACTGTTGGGTTAGTTGTACTGTTGCCTATAGTCACTCAAATAAACCATTTTTTCTCTGTCTCTCTCTCTATATGTGTGTATTTATATATGTATATATATTCTATAATTTTGTTACTCTAGAGAATAGAGACTAATGCAGATTTTGATAGTAAAAGTACTTCTAGAACATCAGAACTATAAGGCTGAATCTTTAACTGTCAGGAATAGGCTTTTCAATTTGCCAACACCTACAACTGCCGAAGCCTCTCCAGGGACCTCAGTGAGTATCTAGGGCCCACTGTGTGAACTGTCATATAAACAAACTTAAGAAGATAAATGCAATTCATTTATCCTGTTCTCCACAGTGATCTGTAACTCCTTATTTATATTATAGACTTAAACAACTTACTAGTAAAGGGCCTACAGAAAGTATTTGTGCCATTAAATAAATTGAGGTTAATTATTTGTTTCACAGAGGTAATTGGCAGGTTGCATTAGCATGATACTTGGGATCCATAGATAATCATTATCAAACAGATCCATTTTTAAGATTTTTTTTAAAGATAATCCATGGGTATTGCCTAAAGTTACATCTGAAAATCCTATAGAGTCCTTTCAATGCTTTTGCAGATGACTCTTCAAGAGGACAAGAAACATATTGTACATATAAATTCCACATGCCCCTCAAAAAGGGTTATACTCACACCTAGCTGTACAGTTCAACTGTCTGAATTTGCTGTAACCACACAGCTATTAGACAGCCCTGACCATTGAATACTTTAATGGACTCTGCATACTGCACTCAATCAGAAATTGCAAGATTTAATCTACAACTATTTCTGTCCCTTCAGACATCTATAAAAAAAATGAACTCAGTATTTTTTCATAACTCATAATCATGCTCATTCTAATTTGCCAGATGCATAAACATCCACCAATGCCCAAGCCGATGGACTGGTCTTCTCCTTGCTCCTAGTTTTTTCTTTTTCAGGAAGAGAAATCCCACACCAGGCTGCTCAAGAATCTAATGAATCTTCATCAAAATGCAAATTCTTTACAGGTAAAATTCTCTTTGCCTCGTGAGCAAGCTCAGCAAATTATCAGGCCCCATCCTTCTTTTTTTTTTTTTTTTTTTTAGTTTTTCGAGACAGGGTTTCTCTGTGTAGTTTTGGTGCCTGTCCTGGATCTCGTTCTGTAGCCCAGGCTGGCCTCAAACTCACAGAGACCGGCCTGCCTCTGCCTCCCGAGTGCTGGGATTAAAGGCATGCGCCAACCACAGCAGAGTGTCCCATCCTACTTGTTCTTTTACTCTGCTGTCATAACTAATCGTTGGGGGTTAAATCCAACACCATTTGGCAAAAAAAGAAATTACCCATATCTTAGAATTTGGTCGTTTAAAATATATTCACATAAGTCGATAGCTTTTCAAATATGATCCTTGCTTCTGTTTACAGAGGTGAAACAACCTCCGATGCCATTAGGCATTTGTTATACAACTTCCCCTTTTGTCCCTACCACAACAAATAAAAACTGATAATGACTCTGATTATACCAGCGAACACTTTAGACAATTTTGCAGCTTATAGACTATTAATCATGTTACTGAAATCCCTTACAATCCACAAAATCAAACTACTGAGGAACTGTAATATCAAATACTTAAATGAGAAAAACTTAAAATGAAAAGGGTGTGTATATACTCACCAAAATTCCCCCATACTATGCTGCATCTACCTATCTTAACTTTAAATGTTTTCATTTTAAAGGATAATGCTTCTACTGCTGCACAAAAGCATTTCTCCCTACAGGAGACAGAGTCTAAAGAATATGTTAAATGGGGCTAGAGAGATGGCTCAGAGGTTAAGAGCACTCCTTGCTCTTCCAAAGGTCCTGAGTTCAATTCCCAGCAAGCACATGGTGGCTCACAACCATCTGTGATGAGATCTGGTGCCCTCTTCTGGCCTGCAGGGATACATGCAGACAGAACACTGTATACATAATAAATAAATAAATCTTTAAAAAAAAAGAATATGTTAAGACCTAAAGACAAAACAAAGGAAAGGGAATGATGTCCTACTAACATCAGGGTGAGGTTATGCTTGTATCTTTTCCAGATTGTTCTGACCCTAGACCATTACCCATTTTAGAGGAGTTGTCACATGTACTTTATGGCCTGCTGATCTCTATGCTATCTCAGAGACCACATTAGATTCTAGGACTTTTAGATATAGAACCCACCCTCATGGTCACATGGACTTTGTAGTCATGTTTCTCTGCAGTCACACCTTAAGCTCTGTTGTGCAACTGGAAGTGGAAAGACTATGGGAACTGTTGTTAGTATAGAGACCCGTTCCCAAATTCTACTGTGTTTAAATATGCCTACAATAAGATGCCTGGTATTAGACTCCCCAGAATCTGATCCAGGTTGACAAAGTCAATCTGAGCCAGGTTTTCACTCTCATCTCTTCCTGTAGTTGGCTTTCCTGACACCTGCAGTGACACCCTCACTAATCTCTATTGTTCACTTCTTTCTTGCTGGACAAAGCACAGAATTTTGTATGTTACTGATTGCACTTTCTCCCAGAGATAATTGTGAAGAACCTGAATTCTGGCCAAGAGAATATTTGTTGGAGTGTAAAGGCAGTATTCTGCCATAACTCTAAATACATCCTCTTGTTTTCAAGGAACTTCTGGCCAGTGCATTGTCCTGGCCTGGTGTCAGTTCAGCAAATCTCCTTCATTTCCCCCTTTTTGAATAGCCAAATTTTATAAAGTTATGTTGAATAGAGCTGCTCGATGTGGAGTCATTTCTTGATGTTGGGAGGTGTTGTTGCAGACTGTTAAAAATAACAAAGACAAGCAAACAATCAATATAAACATTATAGATAGGAAGGGCTTGTAACTTAAGTTGATGAAATGGATTTAACTTCCCCAATCCATTAGCAATACCCTTCAATATGCATAGCCAATATACTATCCATGGTAGTCCATGCAATGTTCTGCCAATATGTGATTATTTCATTTCTTGAGTCATATTTCCAAGATTTAATAAATGTTTTCTATCCTTGTCCCAAGGGAACAAGGTCCCATGCCAATGCACATGAGTAACAGACAGAACCGAGTCACATTCCAATCACATCTTAATGATAATTGTCTTTGTAAGCTAACAGTTTCATCACCTAACATAACCACAGCAGATTCTATATCAGTGATTTCAGTATGCAATATACTATCTTTTTCTAAATTAGAATGCCATCTTTGAATTTAATGTACATTTTGCATGCTTTGATAATGGACTACTTTTTCTTCATTTAATCCAATATATGATGAAGCATAAACATGGAGAAAGACTCTTCTCAGGCTTGATCCATCTGTACAGCCATTCAAACACCAATTTGAGCTGAAAGTACATAAATGCTCTGGAAGCTCAAAATGGTAGGGGTACTAACATTTAAACATGTATGTAAAGAAAAATTGGAACAAGATATATATCCTTAAGATTGATTTCAAGTAGTTTTCCCAATCATAAATAAATAAGGAAGATGAACACATGCCATAGTATTATGAGCTACATCTTTTTTTTTTTTTTTTTGTGCAAGGGAACATAGTTTCATTGTTAGAAGTATTTCTCCATAGATTCTCCTTCCAAGCCAAAATATTACCCAATGCTGATATTAGTTTCCATAGATATTTTTGCGTAGCTCCTCCTTCTAAATGAGGAGAGGTGGGGAACATCCTGGCTCTTGCCATACTAACACCTCAGAGCCATTACTATGAGTGGTGATGGTAATATTATTACAGAACCATCTGAATTCTTTGCCTTGCAATTTGGTGTGAGCAGAAACTACAAGGCTCCAACCAATGACACTATCATCAGAAGTATAACAAGAACTTGCACCACTGGTCCCCAACATTGTTCCCAATATATCTACTCACTTACCTCTGAGACAACAGGAGTGAGGCAAGGGAGAAAATGAGGTGGGATGAAAAGATCTCTAGTAATATTTCCTTTAAACCCTTTAGCTACTAAAATGAACATGGTCTTCTTCCCTTCATTTTTTGTTCCATTATGAATAATAGATAACTTTCCACTAGATTCAACTTTTAAAAAATGAACTTTATGCCCAAAAGAAATAGGAAATCCTTCTATTTCTATATCATAAGATGAAATTAAATTTAAACACTCTTCATTGGACGGCAAAGAACCTCCACTGTCATAGGATCCTTGAATCCAATTAGAGTCATTAATATATATTGGAATACTGGAATCCCCCCAGTGAACCACTGGGTTTAAGGGAGGGTTAGGAATAGAAGCCCAGGAAGAAAATATTTTTGCCTCACTTACTTGAACAGTGGTGATCACTAACATGGCCAAGAACAAGGATTCAGGTGTTTTATTTAGCCCCATATAATGAACCATCTCTTCTCCTTCATTGGCCAATTTTTTTCACCTACCTCCAGGTAGGAAAGGTACAGTTGATTTTTGGAATGTGATGGTATGGCAATTATTCAGGGAGTCTGACCCAAAGTCAGATGAGCCATTTCTTCAGGAGACAAATCAGGGTCAAGCCATGGTCACTTACTCATCTTTCAATTTCCACAGTCTGTCTGAAATCAACAATCACCTGTATCTGTGGAAACACAATCATATCCTTTTCACATTTATAACATTCCCATTAAAATATTTCCTTTTTTCCATGGAAGACATTCTTCCCCTACAAATAGGATGTAGTATATCATGCTCAATACTTTCTCCAATAATAGACTGACAATGAATTTTGGCAGGCATAAGATCATTATCATTATGATTCATAAAAGTTAGTAAACAGTGAGTCAAATAGAACGTTCACAGGATTAAGGGCTGTCTTTCCCCCTTTTGGTTTAATTAACATGCTTTTAATGTTCTGTTAGTTCTTTCAATTATGGCCTGTCCCTGAGGACTATAGGGGATATCAGTAACATGTTTAATATTTCAATGTTGTAAAACACTTTGTGACATATAAACTTGAACATTATCTGCCTAATTTGTTAAGCAACAGGCATATATTTAAAGCTTTTTAAAAATGTTGGGGGCTGGAGAGATGGCTCAGTGGTTAAGAGCACTGGCTGCTCTTCCAGAGGTCGTGAGTTCAATTCCCAGCAACCACACTGTGGCTCTCAACCACCTGTAATGAGATCTGGTGCCCTCTTCTGGCCTACAAGGACACATGCAGACAGAACACTGTATATATAATAAATAAATAAATCTTAAAAAAAAAATGTAATATAACTAATGAAGCCTTTTTATTACTTAAGGCAGTGCCCCATTGAAATGCTGAAAATGCATCAATACAATGATGTATATGTTGCATCCTTTCAAAAACTTTTCTTTGTTTTTAACAAGGGGTTTCCCTGTGTACCTCTGGCTGCACTAAACTCATGCTGTAGACCAGGCTGGCCTTGAACTCAGATATTCACTAGTTTTGCTTCCCAAGTGCTAGAATTCAAAGCATGAGCTATCACTGCATACCTACAAAAAATTTTAATGTTCATTATATCCATTAACAATACCTCATTCTATATATGACCCCTGGGTAGTTACCAGAAGGCAGTCAAGGCCTATGAAAAGTTTGGCAAGTTTTACAACATGAACTTGTTGATTTTGCCATTTTTTGGGTTAAGGGAATTCTCCTTCTTAAGGCTCATACAGAATGCGTATCTGTATGAAACTTGATAGTTTCAAGGAAAAAGGTACAAGAATATAACTGGTTAAAGAATCTACTAACCTGTTTCTCAAAATGTATAATCAGAGTCAGGGAGTGGAATCAGCTGAGACAGTGGCTTGCTGCCAGTATTACTGACCTGCGTTTGCTTCTAACATGATGAGAACCAATTCTCGAGTTGTTCTCGAACTGCCACCTATGCTCTGTGGCATGTGTCCTCCCCCCTGCAGACACACATAAAAGAAACGTGGTTATCTCTACTAGCACATGTCACAGCTGGCATTCTCTCATTCTAGGGTTTGGGTACAGGTAAACATTCAGGTTCTACCACAATGAGGGGCTGGGGGTATGGTCACCTGTGGAGCCTCTACCTAGAATCTCTAAGACAGGGAATGGGGGTGGCTCAAGTGGGGAGCCTTGTCACGGCTGTAGAGGCAACGGGACCTGACAGAATGGAGCTGATAAATGAGGCAGAGTAAAGTCTGATGCAACAGACAACATCATACAGAGCCCCAAATAAGTTATACTCTGAGGATTAAAAAGTGTCACCTCAGTAAAGTTCTCATGCGTTCAAGCTGTTTACAATGAGAAGGAGCTGCACATGGCAAAAGAAGTATTTCCATAGAGGTATGATTATTTAATACAAAAGCAAGAAATACTAAATAATCTCAGGGAAATTGATTCCTAACTGCTATCTATGGAAGGAATACAAAAACACATTCCCTTTTTTTTGGTTTTTTCGAGACAGGGTTTCTCTGTGTAGCTTTGTACCTTTCCTGGAACTCACTTTGGAGACCAGGCTGGCCTCGAACTCACAGAGATCCGCCTGTCTCTGCCTCCCAAGTGCTGGGCTTAAAGGTGTGCACCACCACCACCCGGCACAAAAACACATTCTAAGACCAATTCTGTGTTTAAAAGAAACTGAGGTCAAGCTAGGCGGTGGTGGCACCCGCCTTTAATCCCAGCACTCGGGAGGCAGAGGCAGGCGGATCTCTGTGAGTTTGAGGCTAGCCAGGTCTACAGAGTGAGATCCAGGACAAGCACCAAAACTACTGAGAAACCCTGTCTTAAAAAGCCAAAAATTAAAAATAATAATAATAAAATAAAATAAAAGAAACTGAGGTCACTAGACTCTTCGTCTTGATTTCTTTAGGGAATACTCACAAACACTCAGAAATCTGTTCACAGTAAGTACTCCATTCCAGTGGTGTCATCTCCCCCTTTGTATTTTTTAAATGCAGGATATCCAGGGTCGTTTTGATTTGAGATGTTGTAAATAAATGTAATTGATTTGAGATGTTGTAAATAAGTGTAATTGTCATTTCATGCATGAGCATCCTGAAAGCAAGCAAATTAAAGCCATAATGAATACTATTAGAACAGTGAAAGCAAGAACAGGAAATCAATATGTGTCCGGTACTGTCAGTTACCATTACTGTATTGATCAGAAAAATCTAGAGAACAGCTTGAAAAGAGAACCATATATAAGGAGTTCTGATATCTCAGAAAACTTAAGCCCATATTTTCCTTTAAAAGAAAAACAAATGCTATGATGTCCTATGCAAATGAGAAGTGATCCAAATACCAAGGAAAAACTAAATGCAGTCCCTTCCTCAGATGGATACATGAGTCCATTATGGTCTCAAGTTCCAGTCATAAACAGTCATTAGTAAAGATAACAGGAGCTGGAGAGACAAGTTCAGAGGCACTCACCACAGATGCACAGGTCAGAGAAGATAGCATCACCAGAAAGACTTTCTGGGGTGACATGGGGCTCTGTGTGTTCCATAGAATAACTTCTCCCTTGATGTTACAGGGCTTTAAAAATGGACCCAGGTGGGCAGACATGAATTCTGACGATACAGCTCTACAGTTGGAGGTTTGCTATCTTTCTGGTGATTTCTACAGACTCCTTGCACTAAGTCACTGTCCTTGATTGCACAGAGCTGGAGGAGCTAAAGAGAAATTCATAATGTTTCAGTAGACGCATGTGCAACGATAGACGAATACCCCTTCCCAACTGTCTTCAGTCAAATGGGCTTCCAAGTCTCAAACTGTTTAAATGACATAGACATATTTAAAGGCCATTCAGAATGCTCTGTGGACAAATGTTTGTGACCTCTCAAATATACAGCACATTTGAAAATAATGAACTTAAGAGTATACACGGAAAGTGCAAGCATACCCCTTTGTGCTCCACTTTTTATCCATTTATTTATTTATTTATTTCAGTTTTTAGAGTTTCTCTGTGTAACAGCCCTGGCAGTCTGTAACTCAGTTTGTAGACTATGCTGGCCCCAAATTCACAGAGATCCACTTGCCTCTACCTCCCAAGTGCTCAGATTAAAGGCATGCACCACCACACCCAGCTCCTCTTTTTATTTTTTAGTAATTGTTGTTTTAATGGTCTATGTGCTCTTTCAATTTTTTCCCTGGCCTTGAGGATTATATGGAATTCCTATAATATCATTGATACTCTGATCTTTAATGTAATATTTTTCAAAAACATGTATTTATTTATTTTTCATCCTGGCTGCAGTTTCCCCTCCCATGTCTCCTCCCAGTTCCTCTCCATCATTCACCCTCTTTTCCAAACCCCAATCCACTCCTCTTATTTCTACTCAGGAAAGGGCAGGTCTCCTTTTAGGATCAACAAAACACGGCATATCAAGTTGCCATAAGACTAATTTTTTACTGCTATAGGCTAGTCCAGTTTCAGTGTTTATAGTAGTAGGAATTCCCATAACAGAAAGAGTTTGGATGAGAGAAGAGCATGCTGCAGTACCATTTTCTGAGGATTGAGGTACAGCCCAAAGAAATTTAGAATGTGTATTAATACATACATAGAGGTACAGCATCCAAGGCACAAGAGCAAAGTGAGTGACATCCCTTTGCCATACTTCATGAGCACTTTTACCTCTGGGATCAATTCCAGCTATGTGACACGACAGTGTCAGGGAACACAAACAGGACATTCCTGCACTATTTGTCTCACTTCTCTGAATGGGAGGAGGCACTGTACATGAAGACATTATGGAAAAGTATAAATAGGGCAGATTAATGCATCAGCCTGCTGATTTCTTTCTGTAACAAAACCAGGGAGGTTAGAGTGTGCATGAGAATGAGTAATAAACAAAGGATGTGTGCAGGCTTTAACCAGAGGTGGCAGTAGGAGCTTAACAGAAAGGGAAGATGAAACTGAAGCAGACTGTGTTACTGGAGTGGTCCTACAACATAAGGAGATGGTAAAATGACATTAAAGAGTTTATGAATTAACCAGAATAGATTAATCAAAACAGACAGTTCCACCTTTTGGACTGAGGAAAAAGAAGAATTAAGACACTGAAGAATATTTGGACCACGAATCCCTCCTATTCCATTAGATAAGCTATTATTAATAAAATAAGTATCTGCCTATGGAATGGGAGGTTTGACAATTTTTATAATCACAAATTCAGCTCTCATGAGAAAAATCTCATAGCTTGCCAGTGGAAAATGATTTTGTACTCTTCTATAGCAATCTACAAATCAAATCTGAAAATCCATAGGGTTACACAAAACTTTTTCTTCTTTTTTCTTTTTTTTGGGGGTAGGGTGGGGGGGAGTAATTGAAACAGGGCTTCTGTTTAACCCTGGAAATCTTTCTGTAGATCAGGCTGGACTCAAACTCACAGAGACCCACTTGACTCTGCCTCCAAAGTGCTAGGATTAAAGACATATGCCACCACTGCCTAGGTGAGGTGTATAACACTATTTGAAACTGAGTCAGTTGTAATATAATACAGCAAGTATTAAATCCATGTAATTGTTAACATAAGTTCCTCTACTGATCTAATAATTGATCAAGAATAGTAATGCAAGCATTTGGTATTTTTTTTTTTTTTTTTTTTTTGGTTTTTTGAGACAGGGTTTCTCTGTGTAGCTTTGCGCCTTTCCTGGAACTCACTTGGTAGCCCAGGCTGGCCTCGAACTCACAGAGATCCGCCTGGCTCTGCCTCCCGAGTGCTGGGATTAAAGGCGTGCGCCACCACCGCCCGGCAGCATTTGGTATTTTATGGCTCTTATCATGTAAATAAATTGATTCCAGAGGTTTATCCTCTTGTGCTATAACACCTATAGGAGACAATTTAGTGGGGAAATTAGCTAAGTTGAAAGGCAGTGAAGGATCCACATGATACACAAATGTCTCTTTTAGTCTGGATTCAAATAGCTGCAGTTCTTCCCTTGCCTCTAGAGATAAGATGTGAGAACTGTTTGATGCTGTCTCTCCCTCTAGAGTTTTAAACAGGTTGGTTAGTGCATAATTAGGTGTTAAATATTTTAATTTTGCAGCAACTGACTTGAAATAACAAGTGCATTTCAAAAGACAGGAAATTGGTGAACAAATTCCTTTTCTCTGCATACCCTAGCTTGCCTGTGTTATAACACTGGCTTTTTCATAGGCTCTTCTAAGTTCTCCTCAAAAACTGGAGGGAATTTAAGATTACATTGTATATCAAATTCCTCACCCTGTGCTTCAGGGCCATTTTCAGGTAATGGACGATATCTATCTAAAAGAGGCTACAGTAAGGGACCTGGGACAGTTATCATCATCATCATCTTAGCTTTGGTGGTAAAATTTTTACTTTTGATTTTGCATGAACAGGGAAGATATTCTTTTTTGCCTCATTTACCAATCTTAAGGTTTGATCATCCATTTTTATTCATTCAAGGAATTTGTTATCTTTTCCTCCTGATTAATATCCTCCTTATCTTCCTTAAGTATTTCAATAACAGTCTGAATTAATGGTCAAGTGACCCCAAACTGCAAAGGAATCTTTTCCCTTGTTTATATGCCCTTTCAATATTCTTTAAGACTCTGTTCCATACTTCTTCATCTAAAGTTCCTTCTTCAGGAAAACAGGGATTTTAATCAAAAGTGACTTATAAGCAATCTAGTAGATGTAATTTTAATACTTATGTTCTTCCTTTTCTTAAAAAATGATGCATAAACTCAACATAATGCAAAGCCTTCACTGGTTTATGCTCTATTATTCTCACTCACTTCCTTCTGTGAGGGTCCCCAATCTCTTATCTCTTGGCTGATTTCAGGTCCCTGTTCCAGCAACCACTTACCATGACTCTGGAGGTAGGGGAGCTGGTAGAATCGAACCAATACAAGCAGTAAACTAAAGTCTTGTATAAGAAACAAATTTGTACAGAGTTGCAGACAATTTGTACTCTGTTGGTTAAGAAAGCTCACATGGGGCTGGAGAGATGGCTCAGAGGTTAAGAGCACTGACTGCTCTTCCAGAGGTCCTGAGTTCAATTCCTAGCAACCACATGGTGGCCCACAACCATCAATGAGATCTGGTGCCCTCTTCTGTCCTGCAGTCATACATGCTGTATACATAATAAATAAAGAAATCTTTAAAAAAAAAAAAAAAAAGAAAGCTCACATGAGTAAATTTCTCATGAGTTCAATCTGTAGACAATCACAAGAACTAGACATGCATGGAAAAAATATGTTTTTCTGTAGAAACATATAAAGATAGTCTAACATTTAATTCCTCCTAACACATAGGGGGAACAAGGATACACATTCCAAGAACAAACCCCTGTTTTTTTTTTTTTTTTTTTTTTTTTGGTTTTTCGAGACAGGGTTTCTCTGTGTAGCTTTGCGCCTTTCCTGGTACTCGCTTTGGAGACCAGGCTGGCCTCGAACTCACAGAGATCCGCCTGGCTCTGCCTCCCGAGTGCTGGGATTAAAGGCGTGCGCCACCACCGCCCGGCTCAAACCCCTGTTTTGAAGAAAGTAAGGTGATTAAGACTCTTGTCTTGTTTTCTTAGTATTCCCACAATACTCAGAATTCTCCTCACAGGGCTCCATTCCAGAAATGTGTTCTCACAATACACTGAATTAAATTTTCATTTTAATTTTGTAAAATACTGATGAATACACAAAGAAAGCCCTTTTTACAAGGCTGAGTCATATATGTATAGATATATAAATATATTTATTTTATATATACTATATAAAATATAAAAATATGTATATATATCTTTCCATCACTCGCATACATGGCACCCCAGGAAGCCACAAGACAGCATCAGATCTCCTGGATGTCGAATTACAGTTGGTTCTGAGCCATCTGATGTGCAGGCTATGAACCCAAACTTGGGAATGGACCAGAAGCAGTGCCACTGAGTCAACTCTCCAGCCCCAAATGTCACTATGATGCTGAAGATGTAGTTGCTCGACTACTCCTATCTTCTACCACTTGGAGGTGATAAAAGTCTCTGGTACATGATTATGGAAGGATTGAATAGATTTCTATCTGTGAATAGACTTTGCAAACCCTTTTATCATCATTGTTAACAGTTCTCTTGATGTTAATAACGACAACAAAAGGATTAGTTGAGTACAGTCCAGATTATATTAGGAAAAGTTCCATAATATGATATACGCTTTTTCTTTTTTTAATTTACATTGTTTTAGGACAGGAACTCTCTACATCGCCATGGTTGTCCTGGCGATGTGGACCAGGTTAGACTCAAACTCACAAAGATCTACCTTCTTCTGTCTCCCACTTGGTGAAATTGTAGGCATTCATCACTATACCCAGGTGAGATATGTTTTTAATGACCTACCTTTGGCCAGGCGATGGTGGCTCCCACCTTAAATCCCAGCACTCTGGAGGCAAAGGCAGATGGATCTCTTTTAGTTCATTGCCAGCCTGGTCTACAGAGCGAATTCCAGGACAAGCAGGACTGTTTCATAGAGAAATCCTGTCTTGAAGAAAAAAAAAAAAAAAAGACCTATCTTTGGATCAAAGAATGGGAGGATAATGTAAGATTTAAGAAGGAACTGTCATTCTAGTAATGCACAGTAATACTTCTCGTTATTCTACAAATTGACTCTGTTTTGCAAAGGCTTTAGCACACTGATTACATTCATAATGTTTCTCTACAGTATGACATCAAGATTCATGTGTTTGAAGACTACTGCACTATGAAAAGACTTTACCATATTGATTACATTCATAGGTTTTCTCAACTAGCATGTTTTCTTGTATTTTCGAAGACTATTGAAATGTGAAAAAGCCATACCACATGTATTACACTCATAGGGTTAAATACACACACACACACACAGATGACTTCCTTCATGCCTGCTTAGAAAACTAGGACATTATAAATGTATTACCATATTGACCACAGTGGTGAATGTTTTCAATTGTATGAAGTCTTTCATAAAACCAAAGAGAAGTTTGGAATGTTAAAAAATTTACAATGGGGTTTATGCTCATAGGGTTTTACTTCTAAATGAGTTCCTTCCTGTAAATAGACCTAAACATTTTTTTCATGTTTATTACATTCATAGGGTTCCTCTTCATTACGGGGTCTTATATATGTTTTAAGATACTTGTGATGATTAAAGGTTTAGTACATAGCTCATACTTATCACTTCCTTTTCCCATATGAGTTCTTTCACATCTTTGATGAAAATTGAAAAAACTCAGATCTTTACCACCATGCATTCATAATGTTTTCTGTAACGCTCCATGTGTAATATGATCCAGGAAAAACAAAAGAATTTCCACATTCCTTGTCCTCACAAGGATCTTTTCCAAAGTGAGTCTGTTCATGTATTCCCACTGAAGTTGGAAAACAAATTAATAGTAAATTTGTATCACACTTACCAAGTCTATGCATAGTGAGGACTACTACATATTTTCTAACTGTTCTGGAAGACACAGCAGTACATTGCTTCTTTTCATGCTGCTCAGGATCACATGGTTTGTATCCAGAGTGACAGATGATACACCTAGTAAAGGAAGAATAACAAATAAAACTTTTCATATTTCATTCAAACATTTAACTTTTTGTTCCTCATAGAGATGTGGTATAAGGGATTAAGGTCTTTCCACCAAAGCAACCTTCTTGACTTTCAAAAACTGTCCCTCTCATTAAACTAAGTCACTTCAAGTATATGAGTAATACTCCTTTAATATGTTTGATTTGCTTATCAAAATCTTGGACATACACTGATCCCCAATCAAGGTGTGGACCTTTTGCTAAACTTGAATGGTATGAAACTAAATGACTGAAAGTTCTTCAACTTTTTTTTTTTTTTTTTTTTTTTTTTTTTTTGTGGTTTTTTTGAGACAAGATTTCTCTGTATAACATCCCTGGCTGTCCTGGAACTCACTTTGTAGACCAGGCTGGCCTCAAACTCACAGAGATCCACCTCCTCTGACTCACAAGTTATAGGATTAAAGGCACTGTCCACCATGCTCAGCTGTCAACATGGTTATTTCAGGGCTATGATTAAAACCATGACATCTGCTAAAGCATTATTTCCTTGTCTTCTTTCTTATACATATGGTCGGCAAACAGGGATCAGCTATCTCACCTTGAGGTACATGGTATTAAGAGAATTTAAGAGTCATCAATACACGTGAAGCTGTGCTTATTTACACTGTTGCTTTTCCTGAAAATTCAAGGCACAATTTTTTTCATAGGCACATTTGTATTAGTTTTCATATGAAAATTACCTTTCACGTCTTCTAGAACTTTGACAATGTTCTTCAATGTTGCGGTCTTCCCATTTGTAGCCTAAAATATAGTACCAGAAAATATATGACATATTGAAAATTGTGCAAAATTTGTCTTACTATCTCTCCAGTGAACCTTAGAAACAACCATACTTTTCTTCTTTCACAATCAAAATCACAGGAGCACCAATAACCAAGAAACTCCTGTCCTCCTGTTTTTAAAAGAAGTGACTCACATTTATACCTCTAGCAATGAGGATTCTGCAGGTTTCCAGCATGCCATCTGTGTCTAGACTGTGCTTGGAAGGGTTCAGCAAAGCCCACTCCTCCCTCGTTACATTCAGGTTACTGCATCCGAAAATAATCCAAATATGTATATAAAAAAAAGGGTGATACTGACTGCATTGTAGACGTACCCTTTACTGAAAATAAGTTTATGTAATGTGTGCTCAATGCATTTAGTCCATGTCACAGAATTTCAAATGCAAACACAAACTCATTTTAGAAAGCAAACAGGAAAGAAGGATCATGGCTCTCATTTCTGGGTCCACTGAATAGGATATGGTATTGTAAAGTGAAAGACTATTAGAGATACACAGAGAGACATTCAAAGAGATTAATGCTATTGAGTATACATCAGCAAATTTGTATCAAAATTATTAACTTCAGAACATAATGGACAAAATGGGCAGGGTGGTATACACCTTTAATCCCAGACCTCAGTTGGCAGAGGCAGGTGAATATCTATGGTTTCCATGCCAGCCTTGTGATTTCCAGGAGAGCCAAAGCTACATATTGAGACCCCGACTGAACAAACAAACAAAAAACAAACTATAAAGCTAATATACTTCTACAATGCAATGCATTTGTAATAGGTTACTGCCTGACAGATTAGAGAATTCTCAAAACTATTGGCAGAAACTGCAGGACTGCAGGTAGCTCCTGGAAGGAGGAGACAAGGAAAGGGTCACAGACACCACCTGTGCACAAGGAAGTTGTGGAACTGCAGGAAAGAGCGGAAACAAAGAGAAGTGTCTTCTTGACAAGAATTTCAATAAGGGTGTCTCCAAGCAGAATGAAAGACTTGTCTGAGAAAATTTCCCAAATCTCAGAGAGACATCGCTTCCCATGTGATCAGGGATGAGAGCAGGGTGAGAGGAGATTTGTGGGACACTGGTGTGGATTTGTAGTAATAGCTGACAAGGCAGGCTGTTCCAGAGTGACATTTAACCAGTAAGTAGGGCAGGAGGGGAGAGAGCAACTGAGGCTTTGGGGAAAAGGCAGATAGTGTCTTTAGTAGGTGTCCATGTGGGCTTAGAGAAAAATCACACTCCACACACCAATCCTTTGACTTACTGCACTGGAGAGACCACTCCATGACTCAAATGGGTAGTTTCAGGACTGTGTGGTGCTACAACCCTTTAATCAAAGAATTGAGGAGATTCAGGGGGACAGAAACACCGAGGCCCTGTAGGCTACACCCTGGGATCGAGGCGATCATAGAACACCCTCCTAGAGCTAAAATAAAGAAAATTCTCTTCAGTAATTACAAGCCTCTAGCTCTACCTAACATACAAAGAGGAGCTGGCCAGGAACAGATCTGCTGACTCATATACACAAAATGTTGCTTACTGTGCTCCTGCTATCACGGCTTGTTCAGTTTGCTTCCTTAGACAACTCGGGAGCACCTGCCCAGGGTGGGACCACCCACAGTGGGATGGCTCCATTACATCAATTATTAAGCAAGAAAATACCCTATAGATTTTCCTACAGGCCAGCCTGACTCTAGCTTGTGTCAAGGTGACCAAATCTAACCAGCATACCTCCTGAGTCATCTCCCAACCCCCCTAAGGCAGATTTTTAAGCAAACCTCAATTCTCTTAACATTTGATTTTCAGTGTGTGTCTGTGTGCGCACCCACACAAACTTTTGAAAATATTACATTTACGACTGGAGAGATGGCTCAGCAGTTATTGCTCTTGTACAAGACATGAGTTTAATTGCCTGCACTAACATGGTGATGCACAATCATGCCTACATCCCATTGCAGGGCATCCAATGCTCCCTTCTGTCTTCAGTGGGCACCAAACACACAGATGGTGAACATACATACATGCAAGCAAAACACTCATACACATGAAATAAACAAATGTTGAAAAACTAAAGACACATACCCTCATATCTCTCATATGACTCTATAGATAAAACAGCCAGAAATACAAAGAAATGTGACAAATTATCTGCAGCCAAAACTACAACTGTAATTAAAAGAATCAAGGAACATGATAAAAAGAGGGAAATGTCAGGAATGTAGACAGGAAGCCTGAGTCTTATTTCAGTACAGAATCTAAGCTATAAATGCAATACAAGTCCAATAAAAACGCTAATGATTTATACTATGAACAACAGAAAACCGATGGGGGGGGAAGGCATCAGGAATGAAAAAATGATCAACACAAGATTGAATAAATACCACACACCGTGACAACATCTGACTTCACAACTTCACAGACACCTGAAAAAAAGTCTGTACTGTCTGGGAAAGAAGAGATCAACAGAACCTAGGGGAAAACTTAGACATAAAACACAGTTAATATATAGTTAATCGTGACACATTACAACAGGAGACCTAGTAAGTCTAGCCTTACCACCCACATGCAAATCTGTTAATATCACAGACTTTACGCCCTGCACAGAATTAACTGCAGACGGATCCTACACCTGAATGTTCAGTGCCAAGTGCAGAACTTCTAGAAGACACTACAATGACCAGGGCTCTGCGAAATTTGCCTGCCAGAGCGCCAAGCAGCGCATGCGCGCACGGTGAAGTAGCAAAAAGGCGATATCCACACACAGAGTACTCCCCCTACCCCATCCCCATGTCATGCGCAGGTGCAGACTAAAGGAGGAAGTTATTCAGAGGTCGTCAGGACTAGGAGCAAGGTCAGCAGGGACCTCTGGGACCACCCGGGCACCGCGTCAGGCCGCCGGTTCTCACTGCCTCCGGAGGACCCCACACCAGCTCCCTCGGCTCCTCCCCGCGTAGGGACGGCGGTCCCTCACTCACCATGGCGGATTCCGAGCTCGCCCGCTCTCCTCAAAGCTCCCGGCAGCGGGTCACAGCCCAGCACACGGATCAGGAGAGTAGCCCACACTCAGGGAGTCACCGAGCCTGCAGCATGGCGGAACAGAAGTTTCCGCCCCTATTCTGGCTAGCAGTCCATCTCGAGGTCCTGATTGGCTAGTGATGCCTGAGTGACAGGGACAGCTCCCTTAGAGAGTTTCCCAACGGCACAGCGGTTAACAATCCTGAAGTCCACTCCAAGCACAGAACTGCCCCCAGACTTGCAGAGAATGGCACTGCAGCAGAACTTGGGCCTGCACGGCAAAATCGTCCCTACACTTTTCCTGCAGCCAGTAGGCACTTCACTTTCTTCCTCCTGGGCGCAGGGTGTTAGGTTTCAAACCCCAGTCAACCAGCTAAGGAGCCTATTTTATATATCAAAGCAATTTTATGAGAATGAACCTAAGCTCAGATGTTTACCCAGTAGGGCCAGAGTGAGTGTCTGGTCTGGCAAGACCAACCCTGTCACCAAACCCTTTGTAGTGCCATGGCAGCCTGCAGCGTGGAGTGAGGGGCTCCCACCATCCAGATAGAAATCAAACAGGCCCCACTAGAAATCAAACAGGCAGCTTGAATCTTTGCATGGACCAGGCATGTGCTGAGTCAGACCTCAACTCTTACCAGGTTCCTGGGGGCTGAGGACGCACTTCTGGGGCACCAGTCCCGTTTTGCTATGAAACTGAGAAAGGACAAAGGAAATCTACCCATATCTCGGCTAGCCATACCTCAGGCCAGGCTGTGAAAAACGTGCTGTGATTTAAAGAAAGAAACGTTGATTTAACAATATGCACCAAAAATCTGTGGTCTCTTAAACTATTATTCTGTAGAAAAAGTCCATCAATGTAAATATAGGATTTTATTCAACTAATCCCAATGAGATCAAAGTGAGTATTTATACTTAATCATTCCATATTTACTATAGAGCCTCAATATTCTGATGACTAAATTATGCATATTTTACTGCTCACTTGATATATGAGTCTGCAGGTTTACTTTTCTCTCAATTCTGCATCGTTAGTGAAAATTAAGTAAACCAAATAAGAAAAAGTGTTTTTACATCACGCTCCTGTTGTTCATTTTCTTTGTCAGGGTCTCACTCAGTACCCCTGTCTGGATGGGAACTCACTATGCAGACCAGGCTAGCCTCAAGAACATGAAAATCAGTTTGCCTCTGCTGCAGAGTGCTAAAATTAAAGGCCTGCAAAACCATGCCTGACTTGTATTAATTCTGCACATTTACTCATTAAATAACAGAAGCTAGGTGTGGCACACAACTGTACTCTGTACTAAGTACACTGTGTGAGGAGGATCACTGTGAGATTTAGGCAAGCCTGGGTTATAAGCAAGGCCCTATTTCAAATGAGCAAATGACAGAGCATATGCAGAATCTGCCATGCAGCTTTTGGGACCATTAGTGTCAGTCTTTGTCCTGGAGTACACTTGGATCTATGGCACCCTGGCCTTTGCCCCAAGTCCACTGTCCATTTTTTGACATCCCTGTCTGGAACCTGTGACGGTGCTGAAGCAGCAGCCAGCAGCAGTGGCAATGGCATGAAGAATCCCTGTCCAGCTGCTTTACTGCTGTGCTCCACTGCTCTGTGGAGGAATTTTATCCTCTGTCCTGCCTGCAGGCCTTCCACTGAGAATTCTTTAAAGCCACACGAACACTTGACTGGCATGTTCAGTCTGGCTCACCATATGATTTCTGGCTCAGTTATCTAGTTTCTTGGGGCTACTCATTTCTACCTGGACTTGGAAACTAGCAGGTAGAATCAGATGCTAACGGTGATTAAGAAGTGACTGGACAGTCACTGACAGCCTCTGAATGGGCCTGAGGTGCACATGAGTCTATTGTCACAACTTGTAAACAATTGCTAAAAAGATCAGAAAGCAAAAGGTGATGGGTGGCTGAATCACCTTAGCTCCTGGGGGAGTCACTGGCCAGGTGCATGGTGAACTGCAGACCCTTAAGATCCCATATTCTCAGAGGTGAGAAGTGCGCACAATAAATTGTTCCTGTCACAAAGGAACTCAATAATGAGTAGATAACAGTAGAACAGATTCAGTCTTCAGTCCAGATGCTGTGTAAGTCCTGCCTGAGCAGGCCTGAGGCAAAGTCTGTACCAAATAGATACTTTTTGGTACATCATGCTAAGGAATTATTATTATGAATTTCTTTGTTTATGTCTTTCTTTCTTTGTTTTTTTCTTTTCTTTCATTGCCAACTCGAAGTAGAGTTAATTGTTTAATCCAAAAGAAAGTACCTAGGAGATAAGTATTTCTGTGAAAACTGGTTTTGTTCCTGTTTTACCCTAAGAGAGCTATGACAGCCTGACAATGTTCTGAAGGAATTCTGTTTTGGTCAGTTGTTGAGTTACCACATAGCAAACTATTTTGCTGGATTTTTTTTTAGTTTTAGTGCATTTTTGTTTTTCTTGTTTTCATTTTTCTTTTAAAAAAATTCATATTTGAACCATTGAGACATGTGTGAACACACATGCCAGAACACATGTGTGAAGGTCAGAGGACAAGTTGGAGACATGAGTTCTCTCCTGGGTTTACCTCAGGCCTTTACTAACTGGTTACAAGTGCCTCTACTCACTCAGCCAACTAGCTGGTTCCTGTCAGACCACTCCCTTCTAATCCAACTATTTCAGTATACTCATTGTAGTAGCTCTATTTTCATTTGGGGTTAGACAATACTGGGTATTCATTCTAGAGCCCCTCCAGGGTTTGGCCTGGGTATGTCCGCAGTGTTCTGGTGGAAGATCCACCTCAACTCCCCTCCCTATCTCTTTCCCCAAACCCGCCCCTTCAAAGTCCACCAAAACCAGCTCCTCCCCCAGAGAGGCTCAAGACCACAGGATATATAAGCTGCATCCTAGAAAACAGACTTGTGGTTCTTCCGGTCTCTTGATCGCGTCTCCTCTCTGAGGGGCTGGGGAATCACCCGGGAAACGCTTTACCCATTAAACCTGGGCATTTCCAATTCGGTCTAATTCGGTTTAATTTGAATTACTGCATCAGCGGAGAGGCCTTCAGGGTGCAAAGACTTATCACACAGAGTCTTAATAAAAAGTTAGAGACAGGGACTGCTCAGGTTGTTCAAATATTTTGTCAACTCGGTGCATAGCCATGCTAGGCCTTCAACTTGTGATGCTCCTACCCCAGCCTCCCATGTGGTAGTATTCCAGGACTGCACTACCACTATCTCAGCTCTAAGTTCATGTGGGAAATTAGCAATCTGAATCTGTCTTCTTTTAAAAATAATATACCTTAAGGAGTATCAATTATGTTTTTTAAAATCACCTGTGGTGTCATTAATATTTTCTTATTCCCTATTATGTGGATTTCATCTGTAATCTTTAGAGTCTTTCTAAGCCCTATGTTTCTCTCGGTCCTGTCACAGACTGAGAGACCAGCTCCCAGTCTGCTCCAGGGTAGCAAAAAGAAGACCTCAGAGTAGCAAGAGTTTAGGAAATATTCTTGTCTGAGGGCCAGACCTTTTCTATCTGAGGGGAAAAATAAAGAAACACAGAGGCTTTCTGATGGTAACTTTCACTACATCTTGAAAAATCTCTCTGAAAAACCTCTCTTCACAGCTTCCTAATTAGCTCTTCATCCCTTCTCATTCTCTACTGAGCGGCTTCTCTAACTCACTTTCACTGCCTCCACATCTCTCTCTCTCTCTCTCTCTCTCTCTCTCTCTCTCTCTCTCTCCACCTCCGTTGCCCTGCCCTCCTTTGCTGCTCCTCCTCACCCACTCTACATCGCTCCTGCTCTGTTCCACAACCAAAATCTGGACAATTATAAGTTACACTTTCAGGACCTTACCCATTCTCAAAACACAGGATAAGTCACGTATCTTAGGCTAGTAATGTCACATTGACCCATGCATGTAGCTCTAAGTTGGTGAGGGGTCCCAGACAGTAAACCTCTCATCTACCAGGACAAAGGGCTGTAGAAATCGTTCATGGTTGCTTCCTGCTAATATGGGTGTGCAGCTGGGGGTCCTGAAGGCTGGAATGCAGTAGAAACTGAGAAAGAACAGGCTGTTTCAGGCTCTGTGAGACATGCAAGCAACTTAGGAGCAGTCTCTGCTGGAAGGTACAGGCAGTGATTGGGTCAGTCTGTAACCTTTAATTGATTAAAAAATCTGCTGGAACAAGTATATATTAATAGCAAAACATGAAGTTAAGGAATTTTAAAGAAGAAACTTCTCTTGGGTGTACATTGGGAATTTTTTAAGTGCAAGGTCCTGGTAGATGAGAAAGGTGAGTTCCAATATTCAGAGAGAGAGAGAAAAAAAGAGGTGCCCCTTTAAAGAAATAGGCTGGTAGGGAAACAAACCGTAGTTTGGTAATACTTTTTTCAAGTTTATCTCGGCCTGTGGGCATTGGTGGGTTAGGTCTCTTGAAGTCTATAAAAACTTTCTTGCTGGGTGGTGGTGGCGCACATCTTTAATACCAGCATTCGGGAGGCAGAGGCAGGTGGATCTCTGTGAATTAGAGGCTAGCCTGGTCTACAAATCGAGTTCCAGGAGAGGCGTAAAGCTACACAGAGAAACCGTGTCTCGGGAAGAAAAAAAAAGCAGCAAAACCTTCTTAAAGAGACAAAAATTCCAGATAAATTAGCATTATTATTGTTTGTGGTTATATAATAGTGATGATATTTTGTCAGAGCCAGATTAGTAGTTTATGAGGATTTTATTAATCAATGTTAAAACTATGAACCTTTGGGGCTGGAGAGATGGCTCAGAGGTTAAGAGCACTGGCTGTTCTTCCAGAAGTCCTGAGTTCAATTCCCAGCAACTACATGGTGGCTCACAACCATCTGTAATGAGATCTGGTGCCCTCTCCTGGTATACAGGCAGAACACTGTATACATAGTAAATAAATAAATCTTTAAAAAAAAACAAAACAACAACAAAAAACTATGAACCTTTTTAGTCTCAATATAAAAACAGAACAGCAAGAGAAGGAAATCTGAGACATGTTTCATCCTTTTAATGAAAAGTTACTTTGAATCCTGTTTGGTGAGCTATCCTCTATAGTTGGAATTCGATACAAGGCAAATTATTTTTAGA